AGAAGACATATTTATACCGTCCAAAAAGGGAATGAAGAGACACAATGATTAGGGTACGATACAACGTGTCAGACGAAGCGATTCGCATACGCCATAAATACAGGGGCTCCCCAATACAAAAGCAACACGTGTGAAATAGAAGTTACTCTGGAAACCGTCGAAGAAGGGGACGCGCCTTTTGGGAGGATGTAACCGTTACTGAAGATACGCGCCTGCTGGGATCGGAAGACGACCGGTCGGAAGAAGAGAAGGAGGCAGAGACATTCGGTTCATCAAGAATATGCAGATCCGGGCATTACGACCGGATACGGCACCTAACGTGATGCCCGAATCAGGGGGCCTTTGTTGGTGGTACAGACCGAACGGATAGCAGTAGGAAAAGAGAGGGAACTGGACGCCCCCGGGGTCGTACCGTTGCTGAACGGATAGGAGAGAATAAGCGAGATCTGTTTAATCTTTACAAGAGCCAGCCGTACTGCGCGCATTAAATGCGGAGATACAGGAAAATCTCTTATCCGACGGCAAAGGAAAACTAGGGACACGTGGCACGATCCGGACGACTCTCAGAAATTGGGAAAAGATGACCAAGTACAATTAGCATTAAATACGGAATGACTAATATCTAAAAATATCCTCCAAAAGGAAATGTAAAAATCCCCAGGAGGGAAATGTAAAGTCCCAAAAACTTCCTATAAAAGGGAGGGGAGGACATCATTTAATGCAATGAGTAAATGCTCTCATTAATTACCTAATAAGTCACGGATAGACTGAGCATTCGGACTATCAGAATAAAACCGGATCACATACACAAACTCTATTCGTGCAGACCGAACAGAGTACACATCAAAGTGTACAGTTCGAACACATTGTTGGTCATTTTTAGACATCAACAAGAGTCCAGCGTGGCGCGTGAGCAATATAGGTGGTGGCGGTCAAAGCATGTGGATATTTTGAAAAACGTGTCATGAGATTTATTTGAGCATGTTTGTGAATTAATTATATTTGATCATTAACTTCCGCATTATCAGATATGTATGAGATCATGAGACATTAGACTATGCATATTTAAATCCAGTAGTTTCCATGGTACCTAATCTTGAGAGTGGACTAGATTTGGATGCATGCATGAGTTACCTACCCGATAGTCGGGAGATAGTAACAGTGCAGATAGTTGCATATATGTTTATATGTATTGATAGAGATAAAGAGATAAGAGTATTAAGTTTATTGACATCCCGTGAGAAAGATAAAGTGTTTTCAAAAAATTAACTTAGAGTTTTTTCAAAATTAAAAAAGTGTTTTCAAATTATAAAGCGCAAAAATTTTACTCTGATTTTAGTAAATCTAGTAATACACGGCGGGGTGTTACAATGGTTGTCTAGTGTCGATCTGTTAAAGGATTGCTAACACTAAATTGTCGATTTGGTGGAAAGTAGTAGAAAGCAAAATTTCCAACGAAAAACGGGCGTCTCATCCTAAAATATAACTGACATGTGTCATCTTGTATGCGACCTTCCCAGACACGCGTTCATCAGTTGTGCCCCTAGTTGGCAAGACGTTTGATGTAATCATTTCAATTTCATATATTGTTTGTAAAAATACAAAGAATTGTACCCAACAATGAATCACCCTAAATTTATCGTTTACAAACAAAATACCCAAAATAATAAATACTAATTTGTCGATCCTAATTTCTTGACGATTTCATTCAGTGCTCACTATACACTTGTAATCTCATAATTGCTACGAGTTTGTGTCTGATAATCTCTCATTATCATCAAATTGGCACTAGAATTATGGCACATAGTGGTTTTTGGTAGAACTTCGCAATAACGTATCAATTTGAGAGATGGAGACAGGATTGCGTTAGCTTTTCTGGATAAGCATGATCATTTGACATCATTAGTTTAATTATTTATCTGTTATTTATGGTATTTAATTATAATAAGATTTTACTTGGTAGAGAAGTTATTTAATTATTATTAGTTTTAGATTTGGTAAAAAAGATATTTGATTATAGAAAATATATTTATCATATTCTTTTTCTTGGTGGATAAGTGATTTCATTAGGGTTGTTAGGAGATAATTTAAGACTCATATTCTTTTGTTGAAGGTAGTTGATATTTGGTTGATATAGAATATATTAAGAGTATTCTCTTGATTCTCGCTATCATTTACGCTTTCTCTACATCAGTTGCTATCAGCAAACAAGTATAATTCCTTTGCGATGCTGCCCAAATGGAACGATGTCGCAGAAGACAGGCACGATGCCATGATCGAGGCGATATGGCACCAAAGAGAGGCGTTGGGGCGCCAACTCTCATATCTGACCACAGTGGTCGAGGTGATCATCAAAAAGGGCCTACAATATCTGATATGTAAGCTTCATATGAATTGAAACAAGCTTCATGGTCATGGAACATCTATTTTGGCGAGGTTGTCCATTCATTTTGATTTACCCAATGTCCGGATGAGCATTGTGTGTACAAAAAAGTGATGGAAACGTGGTGGTGTTTCTTATGCTATATGTAGACGATATCCTTCTTATTTTAAACATTGTAAAAGTGTTGTCAAATGTGAAGCTATGGTTGTCCAAGCAATTTGATATGAAGAATTTGGAAGAAGCATGACACATTTTTGGGGCCAAAGTTAATTCTAAGGGGTCGCAAGATAAATATGTTATGTTTATTCCAGTCTACGTATATAGATACGGTCTTTTCGTTCCAGCATGCAGGAGGTCAAGAAGAGGTTTTTACCTTTTCTACATGGAGTCCTTCTATCTAAGGAGATGTCTCACAAACAGCCCAAGAGATGGAGGACATGAAGGCGTTCATTATGTATTGGAAGTAGGAAGCCTCATTTATGTGATGTGTGCACGGATGAATATCTGTTATGGTAGCCATATCAAAGTAATCTAGGATTGGAACATTTGTCTGTGGTAAAGCATTTACTCATGTGCTTGAGAAGGACTATAGGTTTATGCTAGTTTACTGGGCGGACCAACTGCTCCCTTTGGGTTACGCTAATTCTGATTTCAATTAGACCGAGATGAATGTAAATCCACATTGGAGTTTGTATCTAATTTAGGAGGTGGAGCCATAGTTTGGCCGAGTGTCAAGCAGAAATGCGTGGCAGACTCCACAATGGAAGCCGAGTACGTCGCGGCCTCAGAGACAACAAAGAAAGCGGTTTGGCTCAAGAACTTCTTGTTAGACCTAAACGTGGTATGGAGTTTTTCCACAGCGAACATGGTTTCTATGATAATAGCAGTAGCAAACTCTAAGGAACCACGAACACACAAAGCAAGTAAACACATAGAGCACAAGTATCACCTGATAAGAGGTATCATTGTCTGATGGGAGGTCGTTGTCGCCGAGATTGCGTCAGATGACAACATGGCAGGTCCTTTTACGAAGAGCTTACTAACGAAAGTCTTTAACAGATGTAGAAGAAATAAGAATAAGACGCATGTTGATTAGTTTGACAGTTTTTTAAGAATTAGATTGAAAGTGCATATACTTTATACGACCGAAAGCTTTAAAGTATAAGTGTGAGATTGTTAGATTATACTGTAAAAGCTCGACTTTAAGTTACCAAAAATTCCATTTTGAATGAGAATCATATTTTAATTAATTGTGTGTCTACAGTTTAATTATTTATGCAAACATAATTCCTTTATTTAAAAACGTAGATAATATGGTTCGATGTGTCGAACAAAAAAAATCATATTATCAGTTCCTTGTAAAATAAAATAATTGTTCACCACCTCGACGGAATTGAACTATCTGTAGTGAAAGATTGTAGTGTGATTTTTGAGTTGGTTGATTTTCGACTAACATCACACTATACATCTCAGAGGTATTGGAGGTCTACAGTGACTAAAATGATGTTAAGGGACCTACAGAGAATAAAATTATTTTATATTGAACAAGTAAAATAAATATATGCTTGATATTAATTATAAATCCCCCTATATATTATTTCAAAACATGCTGAGTCTAAATGGCAGACTCGCATTTTCGGGATCGTATGTGGAAAAATTACATGCTTCGTTATTAGGCTTGAGTAGATTTTAATTTACTTTCAATCCAAAAATAATTAGGTCTGTATTCTCCATAAATATGTTGATTATTTATGGTCATGTTACATGTATTAATTGCAATTTAATATCATTTCTTATTATAACCATTGAATTGTAAATGTATTTTAAAAAATAATAACTTTTGTATTCTTTTATCAGTTTCACATATATAATATATCAAATTAATCCTCTCAATAAACTTCGATTTAACATCCATATTGTATGTATAATTTTTTATCTTTATAACAGTAATAAAATTAATTTTTAATATTACTTAGAAAAATAAAATTATTTATCATTTAATATATTTATATTTCAAATAGTTATGTGATATAAATTATAAAAATTACTATAATATAACACAAGTAAATCGCACAAGTAACAAATGTCATTCTAAAACAAATAATAATATATAATATTTGTAAAAAAAGAAAATAAGATTTAAATTAATTGTTATCGTTAATTCTAAATTTTAAAGATAATTTTTAAACAAACACCCATGTATTACACGGATGTTGTGCGCGTTTAAAAATAAAAAAATAAAAATCCCCCAACTTAAATGAGAACTTTGTTTACAGCAAATGTGCAAGTGACTACAACCACAACGCCTGAGAAAAATACCAAGAAATCAAATAATAAATGAAATCCCATCAGATAATGTGAATTGTCTCCACAAAAGAATTTGAATAACACAAGTTTTCTCCACAAAAGGAGAAAATGTCATGTATACATTATAGTTTTTTGCAGTTAATATGAGATGGGAAAGAAGAAAATTCAAATGATAATTAAAAAAAAAAAAAAAAACAACAGTGAATCTCACAAAGCACATGACCGTCGTTTGCCCGACGAAAGACCTGTTCACCCAGCACGCCCACGGCCAAGGACTCGGCCGATTTTTTCTCTTGTGGCGGCCGTTTTTTTATTTCGCTAGGCCCGTCATTTTACAAATTGGGCACAAGTTTTTGTGCCCGAGCCATTGTTTGATACAGTCCCTATGAAATTCATGCCCACAGTCAAGTATCCCAAGATTTTCCCCATTAATGTATTCTTCCTGCATTCATCCAACCGGCAAATAAGAATTTTTTTATAAGAAAATTTTTATTTAGTATTTTCGACGAAATTTCACCTTGTTTTATCGATATCCAAAGGAAAAAACGTTGCAGTTTTACGACACTTAATCGAGTGAGAAGAAAAAGATTCTTACTCGACAAATACTACAAGGCTCGGTCTCGGCCTGATCTTCTTCAGCTCGTTTTACATATTTTGTCTGCTTCAAACGACTCATTATAGTTCCTTCATTCAATCCCGTGGACACATGTCCTATACGCTCCCCTAGGGCCAATAACTCCTGCACAAGAGTTGAAATACACATGAAAAAATCAGTAAAGAGAAAATTATATCAAGTAATGAATGAAGAGAAAAGGATTGTTTCCATTTTCACCTCATAAGACATGTTATCTATATCAAGTCGCATGTCACGATGACGGTCGTGTCTATTAGCCATTCCGAAAAAGAGCGAGCGATCAAGAATCATCACGTCCTGGAACAATAATCAGAATATCAAGAAAATTGTTGAGTTTTAGTAATCGGAAAAAGGAAAATGTTCCGGAAAAGCAAGGGAAAAAAAAAAGATCGACCGCAGGGAAAAGGTAGGAAGGCTCGAGGGGCAACGTAAGCATTTATAACAAAGAACATGATAATTTCGTGCTGGCCAAAAGACTGAAATTCGTGGAATAACTGAATAAGGCAACTGAATTTGGTGTCCGATAGTCGCTTATTATGCCACGCGGACAAGTTAAATGCAAATGAATCACTATCATGCTTATAACTGAAATAAATGAACAAATGACACACTCCATTTCTCAAAACAATCACCTCTGGTATTTGGTGAAATTACATGTTGTATGGTAGTTAAGGATTCTTAGCGAAAACTTCAAAAAAGAAAAGTGATTTTGTCAGCTTTAGGCTGAGAAAAGAAGATTTTAGTGTTTTCGACAGCCAACGAACCCAAAAACGGGAGACTCATCTTCTACATTGACTTTTACAGAGAAATACAAGTGTTTTTATACCTCGTCTCTCAACCGAACCAACTTTTAACATCAATTTAGAGAACACTATCAACTTTAGAATCTCAACTACATTGCACTTTTTTCCTACAATAAATCACTTCAAGAATAAGAAGTTTACAAATGGATTCACATTTTGTCCTAAGCTAACATATTGAGCAACCAAACGAAATCGAATCAAACTAGCAAATTACTCTCGGGCGCCCTAAAAGAATATCACCTACCTCTAATCTGATATACAAGCACAACAATTTATGACCGCCACTAAATACAAAATTAGGACTTTTTTCGAAATTTTCTTTTTTTCGGAAAAATATAAGAAAAAATAAATAAAACAAAGAGAAAGAAGGGTGGAAAAAAAAAACCAACCTCAAGTCTCAAGCCCTCTCCCCTCCGCATGAGATCTAAGACATGGCGAATATGCTGAAAAACACACAAAAAATGCAGAACAAATCCCACAACATTGAAAATTGTTTTTTTTTTATTTTAAAAAAAAAATCATAAGCAGAAATCCCAAAATTCTGTAGAAAGGATAAAGAAACACTGAAAAATACTTCTCTTGAGAACCCTTTTTCTCTGCCAATCTGTACAGTAAGTTGTTTTACTTACAGAACTCAATTCCGAGTGAGTGAGTGTTAGTTTCTTTGCTTTTCAAGTGAGAGTGTTTATTAATTAGGAATGTTCTTTTAAAACTGACGAAGACAAAAGTCTAGTTCAACATGGACTCTGGATTTTAGGAGATTTATAGGTTTATGGATGTCCAATAACCATAAAACGCTTCATATATTTACTTATGGATGTCCCTTCATTTTCTTTCCAAGACATGGCATCTATTGTTGTTTCTTTAATTATTATGTATAATGAATGAATTTTGTGTCAAGCACAACATAACTTCATTTGATAACCAACATATGTAGTTGAAATCTAGTCATAATTCAAGAGATAGATTAATTAAGAACCATACAACTAGGGGTGAGCAAAACCGAGCCGAAACAGAAAGACCGAACCGAACCGATGTATTCGGTGCGGTTTTTCAAGAGTTCAGTTCTCGGTACGGTTGAAATTTTGAAAAACCGCACAAATTTCGGTGTGGTTCGGGTTTTGGTCCGATGGGTGCGGTTTTAACCGAACCGCACCGAATATGTTTTTTTTTAACAAATATGTTAACATGTTTGTATTGTACTTCGTTTTATTTTGGGTGCTTTTTTCTTTTGAAAAAAATTGCGGTTAACCGAAACCGCACAGAACCGAACTGAAAATTTTGGTGCGGTTCGGTTTGGGTGAATTAATATTTTCGGTTTTCGTTTTTTTGTGGTTCGGATGTTGCCCTTTTTTGTGTTTCTTACCACTGTTTCTCTTGGGTTTCATCTCTAGCCTACCTCAACTTATTTGGAATTAAAAGGCTTTGTTGTTGTTGTTTTTTTTTTTTGGCACCGAACCGCACCATGCTCACCCCTACTTACAACAATTTTTTATTTTTTTTTTATATTATTTGAAGTTATAATAGTAAGCAAATACAATCCCACAATCTTTTAAAGTGTTATAACCAAAATGTTGAATCATAGGTCATCAAGCATGGGTATGTTGTTGTTGTTGTTGTTGTTGTTTACGCCGATTTGATATAACTTTCACAAGAATCTCCAACAATATTAAATGACTAGAATAGCCATTGAAGATGAAGCTTAACAATCATTTACAAACAATTTTTGTCTTTGATTATCAAGCAAAAATGCAGAAGTTAAAGCTATTCCATTCTATATTGATGTCTAAATGCTGATTATATCACTGTGTGGAAGATACAAAATTCCAAAAATTCACCATGAACTTTTTTTGCAAAAAGAGTCGGCAAGTTAACCATACCAATAGATCATGAGCCCAAAAAATCATCGAGAAAGTGACCATGAACAAACAAGCAAAATTTGGATAGTGTTAGCTAATAAAGGGAAGGGGGGGAAGGGTTAGAAAATAAGAACAAAATCCATGCTGAGGTGGACAATACCAAGATAAGAAGAAAAAGCCAATGCAAGAACACAAGAAATATAGAGCATTACCTCGGACATCAAATTCGCTCTTCCTTCACCAGCGGCCGCCAAATTTCTCAACGAATGAGGCAGTCCATAAGCACCATCCGCAAGCTGTCTCTCGGACAATCCTGACCTAAAGCCTGACAAATGCCGACTTTGATTACCGGGCCCTGATGAAATCACCACACCCTGTGATGGGCCCGACTGTATGGCTTCACTGCTACTCTGACCTCCTCCAGATGACTCGACACCTGCCGATGTCAACAAAGACCTCCGAGCAATGTCCGACAGTCTACGTGAATACTGCGGACGGCTACGGTTGGCCCATGAAGAACCAGACGAGTTGGCACTGCCCAAACGAGGGCCTGCAACACTGGCAAAGTTCCAGTTTACGGGCTGTTGAGGCAAACTTCCTACCTCACTAGCAGGAACAAAAATGGGGTGTTCAGAAATGCTTCCCAACTCATTTTGTATAATGGGTTCCTCATAAAGAACAGCCTCCCTCTCGCCTGAAGCAGAAAAATTACCAACTCTTGTGGCTCCAGGCACGGTCCAACTCAACTGCGTGTTTCTACGCGAGGAATGGGCATGCAGAAGGCCCGACTGATCATGAACTCTCCCGTTCCCAGAAATTGGGGGCGGGTTCAGGGCCAACAAACGATCACGAAGAGATACGCTCGGTCGGGCCCGGGAAGACGGGTCGTCAGGCGGGTTTGCGGGCCCCAGCAAAGTTGGATTCAAGGGCACGTGATGATCCTGGTGGCGGCGTAACCCATTGATCCTAAGGCGGCAATTCCTTTGAGAACTCTCGTATATGGCGGAGGAAGGAGAGAACTGTTCGGGCCCAAGCCTGAGTCTTGAGTTCGCCTGCTCAAGCCCATTATTAGCAGTCGGCCCGTTTTCAGCCGTCCTCGAGCCACCTGCCCCGGAGGACTGCCCTCCGGCATGCACCTCGGGAGATTTTCTCTTGCACGACATGTGTCGACTGACCACAGAGCAGCCTGCCACATTTTCCGCACTGTTCATAATATGCCCAATTCTTCCAGAAGGTAAATGCTCAGAATCCTCGAACTCGGCCTGCATGTTGAGGTCCTGAGGCTGAGTGTCGTTTGCATTTAGGTTAATATTTATATTTTGAGGAAGAATATTAGGCGCCTGAAAACAAGGACCGTCCAAGGAAAGAACAGGCCGAGAGGGGAGGGACCATGCATTTTCTCGTTTTCTTTCGTTGTTTTCATCTCCTCGACTAGTTTCTCCTAAGCTCCACTCGGCATTTAGCGGCAACTCGCGAGCTAAAGGGTTGAGGTACTGAAGGTTGGTTCCATTTGGAGATAGTCTGTACTCCGGGAGTTGATGATTACTGGGTGGTGTCTGCATATTGTTCCATGATATTTGGGAGTCTATAACGGGCTCACTTGATGTGGAGCCACGTTCGAAGCTCAAGTTCTCGGACAGGGTAGTAATGGAACTTTTTTGTCCTTGCATTAGGGCTCAGGTTCGACTTTTTTATTCAAATGTTGTCTATATGTTTGGAGATTGGATATCGAGGTTCTTCTTGTTCAGCAAAACTGCAAGAATTAACATTATAAAGTAAATTTCATATGTTTCATCTTTTGTGGGGTGAAAAAAAAAAAAGATTTTCATCTTTAAAATTTGATAAATGTCAGGAATACAGAAAGTGTTGAACAAAGTGATTAGTTACAGCATGAAAAAATTAAAGAATTACAACATTAAAATGGTATAGGTTTCATTACAATGTGAGTCAAATAGATCTTGGTTTAAAAACACCCTCACTATGCTACAGGTTATATCTTTCGAAGTCAATGAACACAGGAATACTCTTTCGAAATAATAAAAGGAAACCATGAGCATGTAATGTTTAGAACTTTAGCTCAAGCAACCAAATGACAGAAAAACATTCAAGTCCTTGTTAAAAAAACATCGTATGATCTTCTACGATCACACTAGAGCGTGCAATTCTAAAAACCCAGAAAACTGCAGACTAATTTTACACCAAAGCACTTTAAGTACATCTTCAACCAAACATCACCAAAGAAAAATGAAGTCTTGACAAGTACATTATCTTGTTTCAAACAATTCAGCTTTAAGCCATTTACAAGTAACAGACAAAATGTGAGAATGAGAAACAAAATTGATTCAAGGGGCAAAAATTACAATACTTGAAGAACACTACTAATATCTTGAGAAAATCTGCAAGAAATTACTAGTGGAACAAATATACAACAACAACCTTTTTGTGGGGAAAAACAAAATTGGAGAAAAAGTCTAATTTAACATAGAGATTTGTTTCCTCCCAGAAACAAAAGTAAAAAAGCTGAGAAAACCCATCCAAGAAAATCTAGGTAACATTAAGAGAGAGAGAGAGAGAGAGAGAGAGAGAGACTCAAAGACCTTCAAAAACCCCACATAAAGCAAGAAGGTTTCATCAATTCTGAACACAGAAAAGCAAACCAAGATAAAGCAGAAAAACAAACAAGCACTTACAGAAACACAGCAAATATCATTACAAAATTTGAAAACAGAATCAAAGAATCTATACCAGCCAAAAAGCAGCAGATGGGAGCTACAGATCTAAAGCCAAGACCTGAAAAAAAACAGCAAAAATCGTCAAACACAATGTTCTTGTGACAAATAAACAAGTTTCAAAAAAAAAAAAAAATG